ATGTGAATGAAAAACTCATGTTGGAGAGACAGACTGACGGAAGGACAGACGGACAATCTTAGCCAATCTCGGCCCTGTCAAAGGAGAAACAGAGTGGATGGACCAGTTATCAGGAGACTCAGCTTTAATACGCGAAGGAGACACGCTCCTGACTGAAAGCAGTGTTTTTTGAATGAATGAAAAACTCATGTTGGAGAGACAGACTGACGGAAGGACAGACGGACAATCTTAGCCAATCTCGGCCCTGTCAAAGGAGAAACAGAGTGGATGGACCAGTTATCAGGAGACTCAGCTTTAATACGCTAGAAGGAGCCATTACATTCACTGCCGGGACTCTGGGCAGTACAGTGAGATGGCCCAGGATGCTAGGACACGAGGAAATGGGGGTTTTCCACTCTCCTGCCCAGCCCCTTCCTCCAGGCCAACCCACTGGGCCGTGTTCCCTGCTCTCGCAGGAGAAAATCAGCTCCACCCAGAGGCTTCCGTGGTGACAGCCCTGTGGGCCATGGGCTTGCGCCCTGTCAGGATGGAAGTGATAGCGATGGAGCCCTGGGGTTTCTTCCCGAACGCCTCCCAGGCTTACAGCACAGCAGGAAAGGCCCTTCTCTTCAAATCAGGAAGCCTGGTGCTCTCTGACATTCACTGCGCCCCAGGCTATGTGCCCGTAGCTCTAGGGTGGGAGCCTGGGAAACTACGGCCTGCAGGCAAAACCTGGCTTGCCGCCTGTTCTCGTATATACAGTTCTATTACCACGTAGCCACGCTCATCGTTCATGTGTTATCTGTAGCTGCTTTGTCATTATCCTTGGCAGAGCTGAGTAGTTGCGACAGAGACCGTATGGCTCTGCGATGTTATCTACGTGTGTTCAATAATGAGCCGTGTTAGAGCAGGAGTCTCCTGTTCGTTTCTCTGAGGGCCTAAGATGTGTCAGGCATTATGGGGATAAGAGATGATGATGATGATGATGGTGATGACAGTGACAATCTGAGTAACAGTAGTAGCAGCAACAGCTTATACATATACTGTACTAATCATGTTCCTGACACCATTTTAAGCATTTTCTAGGCATTAGTACATTTAATCTTCATAACAATCTTGACCTGGATTCTGTTATTAATCCCATTTTATAAGTGGGAAAACCAAGACTCAAAGATATTAAGTAACTTGCCCGAACTCGTACCGCTAACTGTTGAAGCCAGGACAACTAAGAAATCATTGCAATCCTTTAACCCACTCAGGGAAGTCAGCGTGGAAGTGGACCATTTTAAGGTCCAGCTATTATGAGACATTTCTTGCCATTTGGCAATGTTAGGACAATTTTAAGAATTTCCTTTTGATGGGGAGAAACTGAGGCACACCCCGAGCCCTGACTTCCAGAACTCCCCACCATCATCTATGACCAATGCCATCTTTCCTCCTTCCTTCTGCTGAGGTCAGGTTCTTGACAACCTGGACGGCCATCTGAAGAAATCCGAGTACTTCCACTTCCTCTGGTCCCCACACACCAAGAACGTCAGCGTCATCTACCAGGACCACACCAACAAGGAAGCCACCCTGTCACACAGCCCGCAGTCCCCATACCTTTCAGCTACACGGCGGCTGATGCTTGCCGTCATCCCGATGGTCAGTGGGATGTGAGAAGGGAAGCAGCAAGGGGAGCATCGCTGAGCGTGAGGAGAGAAGCAGAAACGACCAGAGCGTGGAAGGAAGACGGAAGGTGGGCCCAGTGAGGGTCCACTGTGTCCCTGGGTAGGGATGTGTAGGGGTGAGGTCAAGGGTGGGGGTGCAGAGGACAGAAGTGTGGGTAGGACAGGATGGGATAAGATACAGAACTAGGCAGCTGGACTAGACCTCAGAAACCGTCTAACACATCGGACCTTCCCTCCAATACCTCCATCTCTCCCACCCCCAATTATGCAGGTGAAGAAACCAGTAGTTTCATATCTGTCCCTCCTGTGCTTAGCAAACCTGAGACCCCCTTCAGGCTGTGACCGTAGACCCTCCTGGGAAAGTCCCCTGTGGCCAGATGACAGTGATCTGGACTAGACCTCGGAAACTGTCTAACACATCGGACCTTTCCTCCAATACCCCCATCTCTCCCACTCCCAATTATGCAGGTGAAGAAAACAGTAGTTTCATATCTGTCCCTCCTGTACTTAGCAAATAGGCTGCTTCTCAGCAGAATAAAACAAAGCCTTCACTTAGGATGGATGTTGATGGGACGAGTCAGGCAAAGACTATGACACCTATTATGTGTAAGGGCTGGTGTGGGGTTAATAAAGGGCGATAGCTGGACATAGGGCTCATTGGCTCTAAAGAGGAAAGCCAGATGTATTCCTTTGTCTTGTGAAAAATATACACACAGAAAAGGGACTGGGGCATGGGAGATGACTGTGCCACCAAGGAGTGAGGTTTTTAATTGTCCTGGCATGTGAGTCACCCCGCCCCCCCCCCACACACACACACACTCTCTCTCTCTCTACAGGGACACATCTCTCTCTAAGGGGACACCATGAGGAACGGAACTGATCACAAATTCTGCTCCCCAGCCCCACTCCTCTTCAGCCAGCTGGTTTGGGGACTATGCCATCGGATTCCATTTACTGGAGTTCCTGCTCTGGATCAGGTAGGAATGTCAGGGCACGTTTTCTGGCATCCGCCGTATGCTTTTTGAGGATGTGGTCCATCTAAAGAACTCCCTTACCTTCATGCACACAGATTCGGTCTGGCTCCTGAGACAGTCAGTGGTTTTCTGTTCTGACTCGCAGGTGATGCAGTGAATTAATATTGTCCTGCTTTCTACCTTTTCCCCAGCCTAAAATCTGTGCTCATGCTCGGGCCCCATGTCTGCCCCTGGCGCGTATTATTCAGTGATAGATAGGCAAGGTTTTACAGGGCCTTCAGTGGGGACTTTGTATCCAGCCAAGATATCATATGGGATGACATCATATAAAAACTTAACAGATATTTCATACATACAAAATAATATAGGCAACGTATATTTAAGATATAAATAAGCGCCACATACTCAACACCAGCTTCAGAAACAAAACAACACGAGTACAACGGAGTCCTCTTTGCGGAACTCGCAGATCGCAACCCCTCCCCCCAAGAGGAAACCCCCACCCTCAACTTCCTGCTTATCATTCTCTTGCTTTTATTTATACTGTAGTTTTATGAATCCTAAAATAATAAAGTCACTAGTTCAGCTTCGATGGTCATATTTATCCACGTTGATATGGAGAGCTCTGATTTTTTGTTTTTCTCTGTATAGATACATTTACCACAATGTATCCATATTCTTATTGATGGATATTTGGATAATTTCCAGGATTCTTAGCCATTACAACCAATGTTGCTG